CCTATCATCTCTCCTTTAAATTGAAATTTTCGGAAAAAACCTCGACCCTATAAAAAATATATCCCAATATATATCGATTAATATTTTTAATTCATTTTCATTATTTTTGCCTGAAATATTTTATCTGAATTCAAACATTTAGCAGTTTGATTGGCCATTTTTATAGCTAGATCATTCGATCTTTCAATGCTGTTCACATCATCTGCAGCCATTAGAAACATTTTCGCAATTCGTTTCAAATATCTTCATCATCTCTTTCATAAACCGATCATCTCTCCTTTAAATTGAAGGCTTACTTTGTTTTCGGAAGAAAACTTCGACCCTATAAAAAATATATGCCAATATATATCAATTTCTATTTTTAATTCATTTTCATCATTTTTGCATTAAATATATTATCTTAATTCAAACATTTAGCAGTTTAATTGGGCATTATTTGATATTTTAATGTTATTTTCATCATCTACAGGCTTTAGCTACATTTTCGCCTCAAATATTATCTTCATCTTAGAAAGCTAAAACTGATCATCGCTCCTTTAAATTGAAGGCTTACTTTGTTCTCGGAATATTCACTTTATACAAATCAAAATAAAAAACAGAAGAAAACATTAACACTATAAAAAATTTATCCCATTAGACAATTTCCATTTCTAACTTAAAACATTTAGAAGCTTAACAATTCCTAAAAAGCAAGTTCTTTTCATATTATCTCTCTCTTATTTATAAGAAATACAGTTGTGTTATTAAAAGATCCCAGCGAGTCTTACTATTTGTACCATTTATGTAGCCCCCTGAGTATAAGAAACCGTTATACTTCATGGGAAAATTAATTTTGATGTTCTATATATGTCAACCAATTTTTAACATAAAGGATTTCTGATTGTAGAAAAAATCCAAGAACTTCCTTCATCAACTACAAAGGGTAGAACTCAACGATCTTTATTGCTTTACTTATTTAATTTCTCTTGAGGTTTCCAGAAGCGATTTGGCGATAGTTAAAATTTCTTCAAATTCAATTCAACAACTTAGTTGTAGAAGTAAAAGTTTCACCACAAAAGCGAAGTGAATTGAAATCTCGTTTTGTGAAAATCTAACAATACCAAACGATAACAAGCTATTTGATCGATATCGGAAACGTTTAGCACATGATTCCCATATCGATTGGACTCGTTCTTCGTAAATGTTGCAAGCCCGCATTCCAAAACAGAACATGCCGATTGAGTTTGTCCGAAGGGTATGCCGAAAAATAAAAGCTCTGAAATGTAATATAGTCGAGTCGGTTGCTCCGTCGACGTGTGTGGTTCAGTAATGTGGACCAACATGCGTGTGCGTGCGAAATGGCCAAAGGAGTCGCAGGACGGGTTGGGGTCGCCGTTCAGTTGAGCTCAGTTGAGTTGAGTTGTGATTTGAGCGCAAACATTGATGGAGCCAAATTTCTGTTATTCGTCATCTAAATAGGTTTTTACAAGCACTCGTTCACATGTGGGGCCTCTCGACGAGTTATGTTCTAGGTTGGGGGAGGAGGCAGACATGTATCAAATTACCACGCATTACAGCCACCGAAAAGACGCACATAACTCTCAAATGTGTGCATAATGGCATTAGTCCGACTTTTCAAGAACAAGCAAATATTGGTCAATGCCGATAAATAAAAAAAAAAGCACATACATACACACACAATTCAGGAATATAATTGATTTATAAAATTACTTTGCCGCCTTAAAATTCTTTAAAAGAATGAAAATTAAAGCTGATATGGCTTTCTGGACACTACCAAGGCAAGGAAGATGCTTTCAGATCTTGCGGAAAGATTGCAGAAATAAGTTATTTAATTATTCCTCATAATTACGATAAAACCTTTCAATTGCTTGACAACTTAACGACTTTTTGATTTCCTCTGAATTTTTGTGTATTCGTGAGCTTGTTTGTGAAGTCATCACGAATTTTAGGTACAGTTTTTCAGTCGTCACATCACGATTACAAAAAAGCGGTTACAAAATACCACAATATTCAAATAATTTATTCGTCATAATTACGATAAAACCTTTCAATTGCTTGACAACTTAACGACTTTTTGATTTCCTCTGAATTTTTGTGTGTTCATGAGTTTCTTTGTGAAGTCATTCACGAATTTTAGGTACAGTTTTTCAGTCGTCACATCACGATTACAAAAAAGCGCTTACAAATACTAAAATATTGATCCTAATTGGGATAACATCTTGCAATCCCGCTCTTATTTCCAAGCTTTTATCAGCATGAAGCTCCTGGCAATTTCGTTAGCTTTTGCGAATGCGTGACTGCCGAGTTCTTCACGCAATTTTTTCAAATACCAATTAGCGATAACATCTTTTGATCTCTCATCTCTCGCATTTCTCAGTATTGCGCTGTTATCGATAGGTGAGCAGAACCTTTCCACAACTCCAACAAGAGAGAACGCTACAGTCGAGCAAGCCCGACAGTGTCTTACAAAATACCACAATATTCAAATAATTTATTCGTCATAATTACGATAAAACCTTTCAATTGCTTGACAACTTAACGACTTTTTGATTTCCTCTGAATTTTTGTGTATTCGTGAGCTTGTTTGTGAAGTCATCACGAATTTTAGGTACAGTTTTTCAGTCGTCACATCACGATTACAAAAAAGCGGTTACAAAATACCACAATATTCAAATAATTTATTCGTCATAATTACGATAAAAAATTTCAATTGCTTGACAACTTAACGACTTTTTGATTTCCTCTGAATTTTTGTGTATTCGTGAGCTTGTTTGTGAAGTCATCACGAATTTTAGGTACAGTTTTTCAGTCGTCACATCACGATTACAAAAAAGCGCTTACAAAATACCACAATATTCAAATAATTTATTCGTCATAATTACGATAAAACCTTTCAATTGCTTGGCACTCTAACGGCTTTTTGATTTCCCCTGCATTTGTGTGTGTTCATGAGTTTCTTTGTGAAGTCATCACGAATTTTAGGTACAGTTTTTCAGTCGTCACATCACGATTACAAAAAAGCGCTTACAAATACTAAAATATTGATCCTAATTGGGATAACATCTTGCAATCCCGCTCTTATTTCCAAGCTTTTATCAGCATGAAGCTCCTGGCAATTTCGTTAGCTTTTGCGAATGCGTGACTGCCGAGTTCTTCACGCAATTTTTTCAAATACCAATTAGCGATAACATCTCTCGCATTTCTCAGTATTGCGCTGTTATCGATAGGTGAGCAGAACCTTTCCACAACTCCAAAAAAAGCATTGTTTTTAGTATTATTTTTGATCCTCCCCAATGGCTATTTTAATTAGTGTTAACACTGTTTTGTTCCTTTTCATAATTGGAGACTAAAGAACTAGCTACGGCTGTACGTATTGCTTTCTTTATAATTTTCTTTAACAATTTTTTATTATTATTTATTATATTACGTCAGCGATTTAAAGATAAATATGTCGACGTATTTGAGTGGCGTAGAGCTTCTCAATTTGTTTGCTGAACTTGTCCCGTCGCCAAAGACTGGCATGGACCCGGCTAAGCCAAATGCCCTAGAAATGTTCAGCAAGACTCCGGTTACCAACGTTCAAGAATATTTGGCTAGTTTTGGGGTCGCTCCGATTTATGAGTTGTTGGAGGTGCGGAACATCCATAACAATCCCATATTTTCCTATCGGGTTTCATCTGAAATCCAAGGGAAGTCTATTGAAGCTGTGGGCTCTGGAAATTCTAAGAAGGGGGCCAAAGGGGAAGCTGCTCGCCAGCTCCTGAATCAGCTGTTTGGTGTTTCCGATGAGGAAGGACACACGATGACATGGAAACGGAGTTACTCAATAATAATATTAAATTTATAACTTTATAACCTATTTGAAAATCTTATCAGATATATCCTAACCGCACATCGAAGATTATATGAAATAGAATTGACATGGCATTTCAGTTTTCTTGCAAAGATTTGATTGGATTTAGAATATTTTCTTGCAGACAAAATTATTTTCTGGGCACAATTAAGCATAGAAATATCTCGAAGGCACAAAACACTATTTATGCCCCTGGACTAGATCATTGGTTTAGCTTTATTCGAATTGAAGAAGTCTGCAGATTAATTCCAAATGAATTCCATTCGAAGATTTCGAAACAATAAATTATTTTAAAAACCCTAACGATGCAAACCCTAATAGAATAGAACAAAAATCTTCGCCAAAACTGCAAAAAACAAACAAATTTAATAATATACAAATTATTTTCATAGATTCTTTCAAAATTGGTCAGATCTGGCGGAGAAAATCAAAAAAGGTCGCGACCTTAAACGGAACGATGCAGACCATGCCAAGAGTCATGTGTTCGTGCACATTTTAAAAGCGCGCTTCAGCCACAATGTTTCGATCCTATAGGCCGGCATTATTGCAGCCAATGCCTGAAATATCGTAACGGCCGTGTTGATTGATTCATCTATTTCAAAGATCTGTCAATTCTTTAATTTTCATTTCATTTTTAAACGAAAACCAACCGGAATGAACAGTCAACACCTGCCACACATAAACGGCCTTGCTAAGAGGCATGTGTTCGTGTGCAAAGATTGCACACTTTCTAGCCCATGCCACAACCTTTACCCCCGGGAGCGAATGAATACATTTTAAGTAGGAAGCAAAAATACAAATAGATGCTTCTTTCTATTATTCTTTTTCAGAATTTCGATGCAATCATCACATACTTAATATATATACTCCTATATACATATTTTAAGCGCTCAAACAGCCCATGCAACTGTCATGTGTTCGTGCAGCTTTGCCAAGCGCCTTCTAGCCAATACATCCACCACCACCCCTCCCACAAGAATAACTGAAACGTCTCTTCGTTAAATTGTCAATTCTTTCTTCCTTTTAATACATAATTCCATTGATCTGATAATGATGAAGAAGAAGAAAAAGAAAAGGTTGCAACTTAATTGAAGCCATAATGGCGATTCATCCATTTACTACACAAATTAAATGAAAACGACAATTGTTACAATCTGGACTTATGTCTCCACAATTTCATACTGAAATGTGAACTCTTATATTTAATGCATCATATATGTATGTATTCGTATATATGTTTGTGTATATATCTTTACATAATTGTGAACAGCGCGCTTTTAGATTAATGAGAGCAGAGGAAAACAAAAAAATTATAGAAAAAAGGTAGTGGTGGACAAAATTAAATCTAAATGCATTGTTTGCTGTGTGTTCATCTTCTTAGTCCCCTCCTCCTCCTCGTCCTCCCCATCAACCCAACCAAACAATTGTGGGCCCCAATTCTCGTCGCTGGCAATGCCAAGTGAATGTATGTATGTATATATATGATCTTGATCTCTAATTATTAATTAATCTAAAAGCAGATGCACTCGCCCAAGGTCGAAAGAGTGCAGCGCCCCATGCTTTGAGGGTTGGTCCAAAAGAAAAAAAAAAAAAAACAAAAGTAAAGCATAAAAACGGAAGAGGAGGAAATAATAATAAAGAGTAACAGTGCATGGTAGGATGTAAAAAATGTAAATTAAACAGAAATCTGACCATTTGGCGAAATTCAGGGTGCAGAGAGATGGAGTTACAGCCTACAACTACGACGCTATTATCAGGCCAGTTTGGAGCGTTTCTTGGCAATGGCGTCCTCAACGGCGCGCAACTGCTTTAGCAATTCCTCGCGCCGTGTCTTCTTGCCATCCTTATCCTTGTCCTTCTCTTTATCCTTCTCCTTCTCCTTGTTCTCCTTCTCCTTATCTGATTTGGGTGAGTTGCTTGGCGAGACGAGCGCAGAAACGCCAACCATGGTCGAGGGTTTCTTAATCTCAATTAAAATAGGTGAACGCTTCTTTGCGATTTGTTCAGCAGCTGAAACGAAATAGAAAACCATTATAAATTGGAGAAATTTTTCGACATTTGCATATTTAGATACAAGTGTGTTTTAGAGCTGTGCGTGATCGACAAGTTCTGAAAAGCTGAGCCGAAGTATATAAATAATATCTCAAGGATCTCAAGAGATTCTTTCTGATCGCATAATAACTATTATTGAAAACTAATTTTAAGTATTAGTAAGGGATAAAAAGTTACTAATATGGATACCACGACTATTTGTTTAAATAAGAGAAATAAATATTTTAGAATTGAAAGATATTTGCTCTTCAGCTCTAGACTTTTCAATGCCCGAACTGTAACACGAAAGAAATGCTGGAGTGGAGGAGGCTCAACGCTTAAAATTAATTAAAAGACATTTTAAAATTTAATTTTAAAAAATTTAAATTATTTAAAAAAAATTAAATCAATGAAATAAATAAATTTAATAAAAAATTTCCAATGCATGCATTTGTAAGTGGAGACACATGTTTATGAACCGGCTCAACAGCATAATTTACATCAGAATCGTGTCTATGCGTGTAAGTATTATTGTAGTTATGAAAAAAAAAAACACTTTTCCGGGGGAAAAGAATTTAAAAAACAAACTTGACCTGCTTAGGGCGTAAGGGAACCTAAATATCAAGTTTGGTTATTCTAGCTCTTATACTTTCTGAGATACTTGCGTTCATACAGACGGACATGGCAATATTGACTCGTCTGGTCAAACGTGGAAGGAATGCGTGAGAAATGGATCTAATTCGTGAATGAACGTGATGATTGGGACGTTCAGTTGCAATACATACGTTTCTTAATTAATTTGCGCTCATTCAGCGCCTTGTCCGTTGCACGTACACGCTTCTGTGGCGTATCCCGAGATCCCGAAGAGCTTTCCGACGATGATGAACCGGACTCGGAATCCGAATATGATGTCGTCGATGAATCTACAATAAGCGAAGCACATTTTAGTTCAGCAGCTTGATGTTTAGACTTTAAATGCCTACCTGAATCTGATGATGAGGAGCTGCGACGTCGCCTCAGTTTGTCAAACTTCTTGGGCACTGGGGAGAGCTTCTTGCGCTTTGATGCGGGACTGTGTGCGCCTCGTTTTTCTATCGCCGGCCGTTTATACGAAGGCGACACGCTGGCTGCTCGCACAAATGAATGGAAAGGAAGAGATTGGTGGTTGGTTATAGTGTTTTCAAAGACTTGTCTGCAATGATTTGTCTTACGTGGCGAACGTCGCGGACGTCGGGGTATTTCGTTTGGTGAATGGGCACGTATGCGACGTCCCGCATAACGCCGCTTGTGATCGGATGGACTGCTCGAGCGAGACGACTCCGAACTTGAATCACTCTGCGAGGAATTGGAGGTGGAATAGGATGAGTTGCTGGTGTAGCTGCGACGATCGCGGCGCCTCCGATCATCGCGCTCGAACGAACCGCCGCGTCCAATCGATTTCGAGCGCATCCAGGGATCGTTCCACTCATCACCACGACCCACAGCCTCGACTCGCTGCACAATTACCTCGCGTGCCGGACGCAAACGACGATCATCCTCATACTGTGGCATGCGATGTGGCGGCAATTCACGATAGCGCGCCATCCGACCATAGGCATCGACATCCTCATATGGCGGCGGCAAATAGCCAGCACGTCCATAACGGTCCGGTGGACTGTAAACGGAATACTGCAATAAATGAGATCAAAGATGAGATGAAGGCACAATTAATAACATTTTTAAACCAATATCATGGAAACCAAGTTGGGTGTCTCTAGCTTTTGCGGCTTGAAGGTTGTTGAGGTTCATAAAAACGGACAGACGGACGACTGACTACAAAATAGTATATATATATCGGTTTGTCTCATTATGATGCTTATAAATATATCTACTTATAAGGTAGTGTTTGCCGCGCCTTCTACAATTGGCATTTCCACTTTCTGCTATGATTCGTGTACGCTTTGGAAATCAGTCGAGATTTTAGGTATGCTCTATATACCCAATTTATTCTATCTTATCAGCGCACTTTTTGATTTCTTTATGGTTATTATTATTCTCGTAACTGGTTGCATAATCCGTTTTACTTACAGCTGAGGGTGAACTGGCCCGATCCTTGATGTAGTAGGGGTCCTTTTCCAGCTCATCTGGCGACAGTGTAAGATTCATTTTCTTATCCTCAAAGTCCATATCTTGCTCCTTCCGTTTGTTTGCCTTACGCATCATTTCTTTGGCCGTTCGCAGGCCACGCTCCCAAGCATTCTCTACCACCACCGGCACCACATCAGACACATAAATGCCGCGCGCATCATGATGGGGCGCATAGACGCTGGGCGCATGATGCACGGCCGGACGATGATGCAGCGCTGGACGTTCGCTTCGATAGTCGTGATAATCACCCGCTGCTGCCGCTACATGATTGCTGTAGGCGCCAGCTGGTGGTCGAGCGGCGCTACTACTGCTCTGCATGGGCACTGATCGCACCATACTCTCAAACATAGTGTAGTTGCCTTTGTCTGTGACGCCCGGATGAAGGAATCGGCAGCTCATGCCCCAAGTGCATTGACCGCGCGTGTAGAAGCGACAAACTGGCTTGGGTTCTGTCTCCTCGGGTCGCTTCTCATCCTCATCCGATACTTCACCCTCTTCGAGTTCGTCATCATCTTTTTTCTTGGCATTGGCGGCCGCAGTGGCGGCATCTTCCTCATCCTCTCCATCGCCATCCAATTCACCCTCATCATCGTTCAAGGGATCGGCTTTAGATGTTTTCTTTGTTTCGTTGGCTTTAGAAGTGTCGTCGCTCTCCTTGCAAATGTCTGGACACTCACCTTCCTCGGCCTCAAAGTCTAGAGCATCATCATCGTGCGCCTTAACTATGTCGTCAAGTGCCGCTGCCTCGACAGCACTACCAGCAACTACCACTCCATTCGCTTTCTCCTCGTTCTGCAATCAAGAAGAAGAACTGCTAGTTAGATATACATACTATATATTAAGAGTATTTTCTATTTCAAGTCTGTATCTCGACTACTCGTAAGAGACCCAGTAATTAGGGGCTCCACACACAAATGTCAATTAGTCAATGGAAAATATATTTATTTTATAGTTAACACTAAGAGATTTGGTAATAATCTGATGGACCAATGCTGCTCTGATGGATCTCAACTGATGTTCTGAATAACTGAATGAATTAGGTTCCTTCAGTTCTTGAACTGCATAAAGGTTTCATTCCTTGATACGGATGCGGATCTGATGGATCTAATCTGATCCATTTATTTCAATAAGCTAAAGAGATTCGTTCAGCATTGCTGATAATGGTTTTATTCCTTGATAGTTTTCGAGTAGAAGCGAAAAACTTAAGGAAGAATTGTCTCCACACCTACCAATGCGGATCTGAAGGATCTAATCTGATCCATTTATTTCAATAAGTTAAAGGGTTCAGTAGCATCAGAGGGCTTTAGAAATAATTGTTTCTAAATCGCTTCTGTGGGGAAAAACCTAAACCTTAATGATGATTATTTATATCCGTTCTCTCACCTTTGTCCCTTTGTTGGTTACAGCTTCCCGTTCGGATTTATCGTCCGGCAGCTGCCGCTCCTCGCTGGGCGATTTGCCATTTGTTTTGCCTTCTTCCGGCTCTGCAACAGATAGCGAGTCGTTGGAGATGGCACCGTCATCGTCATCATCATCGCTATCGTTTTCTTCATTATCCGAATTCTTGGAGGGCGCGCGCTTCTCGCTGCCAATTTCGCTCACATCGCTCAGATCCTCATGACTGATGTTAAGGTCGACGGCGGCCTGATTGTATAATTGGGGACTGTTGCTGCGACTGCGCACCGAGGAGAGAAACGAGCTCTGCTGCGACTTGTTCGGGGAGCCGGTTTCAGGATTGGGCGCCACCTCAGTGGTAGGCGCGGCATCAGCTTCGGGCTCCTCCTCGTCGCTGGAACTGCTGCTGCTAGAGCCACTGCCACTGGTGCTGCTACTGCTGGAGCTTTTCTTTTTCGACTTGACAGCATCGCTGGAGGAGGAGCTCGTGTTTGAGGAGGAGCTGCTGGTGGAAAGCGTACGCCCGGGACTGTTAGGCTCAGAGTTTGGCTTCGCTGGCGCATCTTCGGCTTCGATTTGCTTTTCTGGCGTTGCTGCCCGCGAATTGGACGAGGACTCAGATGAATTGGACCCAGAGCTGGCGTGAGAATCATCGGACTCCATACTGACACCCATAAAGTAGGTAACGCCTCGGTTTCCGGTGGCGCTTCCTTAGCCTCAACCTACGCTGTATCTGTTGCTGTTGTTTCTGTTTCTGTAGAAAATTCGAATGGGTATTCAGTTGATCAGCTCCACACAGTCAATTCGTGCATAAAATACATATAAGATTTATTCAAATAGACTATATTGGCGATTGGACAAAGTAGTATGAACCTTCGACGGGCCGAAGCATGTAAGCCCTGCAGTTGGTATTCCACCAGATAAAGCTGGATTATACATATATCGATAAGTGTTTGTCATAAGCAGTTTTAAACAGAATAAATCCTGAATCAGAATATGCTAAGTTCTAAACATACCAGCGAACGAGTGCCTTTTAATCGAAATTAAACATTAAATCAAGCTGTAATTGTAATTAATTGGAAACTTTTTAAAGTTTAATCCGTTCCAGCAATTTAATTTTTGACAAAATTTGCATTTAGCTTGCAGTCATGGTTCAAATAGGGATAGGATTGTGTGGAAAGTGTGCAGCCGCTTGAAAATAGTTGCTTAGTAGGAAATCAAATCGAAATGTCTCCTTTTGAACAATCTGACCTTCTCTAGATGTTTAATTTGTTGTCGAGAAACCAACCCTTTACGCATGAAAATACTATTCGACATCGAAAGATTGGATGGCCCGGCATTTCTTTCCACTGATCGTCGTCATATATACAGTTGTTTAGCTTTCTCTACACCAACACGCACACATACGAGAATGTTCAAGAGAAGCGAAACACATGTATGTATGTATAAACGAGTGTTTAAGTAATGAGAAATAAATAAATTAAAAACACAAAAAAATAAAATAAAACCATGACAATGAAATGTGCAACCAAGTTCATAGACATTTATAATCTTTTCAGCCTCGCGCTGCAAACATAATCCATGTTCATTTATCGACCTTATTTATTATTATTATTTAGCGCACAGTCGTCTGTGCGTTAGTTTTTTTAGAGGGGGGGATAAATATGTTTTTGATCGTAAAGTATTCTGTTCACTTGTTCAGTTCTTACCTTCATATTGTAAACCTTTTTTCTTTAATTTTTTTGGTTTAGTGTGTGGTCTCTTTACAATTTATTTCGACTTTACGCGAACGAGAAAGACAACAGAGAGTGAGCAAAAAAAAAGTATTACAACAACAATACGCAATGCAGAGCGGAATATATAAATATATATATGTACTACAATTTGTAACAATAAACTGATTTTGCTCTTTTTTCAACTCTCAAGAGTTTCGGCTACAAATACAGACACACACACACACACACAGAAGTAGTAGAGTTATTTTTGTTCGTATATACTTTTCGCGACCGACGAAGTTGTTAAATGAAATTCAATTGGAAAAATTGTCTATTTATATTGAAATTGATTGTCTTTTACAATACATAATATTAAATTGACTTCAAGCACAATTTTAGTTCACAAATCACAAGCCTGTTCGGTTGGCTTGACTGGTTGGTTTTAAGAATACTTTTTTTTAATTTTTTTTTTTACTTTAGACCACTTTATCACTTACGTAGTGTTGGAGGGGAAAAATAGAATTCTTGAAATATATCAATTGTTGGTATTTGCAGTATGCTGAGTATGTTGTTGTTGTTGTTGCTTACCTATAACTGCAGCGTCTGGGTCGACGTCGACGTTGTCGGCCACCTATTCAGCGGCAGCCGCAAAGCAAAACTTTGCTGCGTCGGCGGCAGCAGCGGCAGAGAGATAAAATGTGCGACCTGTGATTGTGTCTGTGTGCTCGCCTCGGAGGCGCCCTCTGCCCGCGCGTCAAGTTGTGAATTTCTTTTCCTTAGTCTTCCTAGCCAGTTGCGTTATTACTGCTTTTGCAGTCCGTGTCTTCTCAACTGATGGCAAAATGTGGTTGCCCCTCTTAGTTAGCACTATTACCTGATAAATTAACGAATTATATTCACTTATTATCGCTGGCGAAAATGAATTTTCATCCCCGTTCTTCTTTCTATTTGTCGGTAGTAATATGGCCGCTTGCGCTTCTGTCTAGAGATGGACGATATTTGCGGTTCGGCGTTGCCACTGCGGAGAGCACGCTTGCTTTTTGGCCGTCCCTTCGATAAAAATGTACAAATGTGCATTGCAGCGCCACAACAAGTTATTGTTGTTATTTATTAAGGAATTAATAAATCTAACTCTTATCATGTTATCCCAATATGTTGCTCCCAAATGTTACACAACTTACATACATACGTTAACTAATGTGTCTATATTTTATAAAGCGATTGGACTTCAATGGTGTGTACACACTGATAAAGCAAATAGAAATGCAGCTGTTCGTAAAATCGTTACGTTTTCTACGTAATGGAAAATTCTTAACCAGGACATTAACAACAGAACAAAATTATGCGCAGCAAGTGGAAGCTGTACCCTTAAGTTCGGAGCTGTTTGAGGGTCCAAAAACCGATGCCAATACAGCGCCTTTGATAACAATGCATGGCCTGTTCGGCTCAAAGCAAAATTGGCGCGGCATTAGCAAAGCACTGACCTCCAAAACCGATCGTCGTGTAAGCAAACTATCGTAAATACATATGCCTAAGTTGATTATATATTTTTGATAAGGAGTTGCTTTTAGGTTTCTGAGGAGACAACATCGCGGTCGGGTATCAGTGTTCAAGTTTTTTCGTTTTTCTGCTAACGGGCAGTTCGTGGAATTTGAATTTATCAGCAACTTTTTTCGGTTTTAATGTGCTACAGCACATTACTTATTGATTTGCAACTTTTAAACTAATTAAAGGATTCGATTTCAACAGAAACGCAGCATTCGTGCAGAAACGTGCACTTCGAGGCTTTATGGCAGGCAGGAGTAAAGCTGGTCGTCCGATAGGACAAGTATGCACCACCGGGGCTTTTGGGACCACCAGTCGCCGCGCCAACCCTAACGAGGTGCCCAAAAAGGAAGAAGCACCATCAGTTCGCAGAACTAAAGAGGGAAAGAACGACGCGCCAGCCAAATGCGGCCCAACCAAAAGCGCGCCAAATACAAGTGTTGGTAAACAGGCAACTGCGGTAAATGACGTAAAAGTTGACAAGGACGGACTTTCATGTAAGTCGAAAAATTCCAAGATTTCTACCACTTCTGATGAAATAAATGCGGGAAGCAAAAGTGTGGTCGACAAGGAAATTGTGGTTGCCATGCAGTATGACGGGGACCACAAGGGTCCTTTTATTGTTTATGTGGACAAGGCTAGCGAAATGGGAGTACGCAAAGCGATTAACCAATTCGAGTTAATCGAGCTGCTCTCTTCGCTAAAAATCAGTGGCATAGAAGAAGTAAGCAGGATAGGGCATGGCAGGTGTAAGGTCACTTGTGTGTCGGCGCAAAGCGCCAATGACCTGGCCTCATTGGAAGCTCTCGCTGTTCACGGCTTCGAGGCCAACATTTTTAAGCATTTCACTAGAAAGGCTGGGATTATTTTTAACATTCCCACGTATATGTCAACCGACCACATGATGGAACTCCTGTCGGCGGACATTCCCATAATGCAGGTGGAGAGAATTTTCAAAAAATCAAGGGACACAGGGGACTTGGTCCCTACCTCCAGAGTAAAGATCTGGTTTAAGGGACACCAGGTGCCAAAAGAAATAAAATTTCTATATACAAAGGTGGCGGTACAACCGTTTATACACTTCAAACAATGCTTCCGTTGCTTACGTTTTGGCCATATGGCCAAGCACTGCAAGGGGAGTGCACGGTGCTATAAGTGCGGAAAAGAACATGAGAGAAAGGACATTTGCACTGATATTGCTTGTGCCAATTGCAAAGAAGGCCATATGGCAACATCACCCCATTGTGCAGCCAGACAAAAGGAATTCGCTATTCAAAAGTGTATGGCCTTGGAGAATATGTCCCGAGCAGAAATTAAGAAGACTCATCCGTCTCTCTTTAAGAGGACGGTGCCTGATCTAAGAGATCAGTCAGAATTCCCTTTTTTAAGAAGGCTAAATAATAGCTCAGGAAAGCGCGAGTACAGCAGCCACGAAGTGGCGAAGGAGGTGCATCCCATTGCACCATATGCCAGGGTAGCTAGGCTTCCAGGCAGAGCTCTCGGGGAAACATCCAAGCCCAAGCCGTCCAGATACGGCAATACAACTAGTCATAACTTGGCAGATACCGCTCACAGAGCGGAGGTGCTTGAAGTTGGTACCACCAAAGTGTCTTTAGCCCAAGAAAAACTTAATATAGTGGAAAAGAAAATATCTAACTTCATAACGGACCCAAATAGCGGAGCGGGCCCATCTCTACAGTTCTGGGAGGAAATCAGGGATCTCATAAATGCTGCTAATGCGGAGCTAGATGCAAATCAAATTTGCATCGCCTCGGCCTTGACAAGCACAGCAACAATATGAGAATCCTCCAATTCAACATCCAAAGCCTGACTTTCAACAACAACAAACAAATTCTTCACATGTTCCTCCTAAACAACAACATAGACATCGCCATTCTGTCGGAAATATGGGTGAAAGACAATTCAGAGTGTGGAATTCCTGACTTTAACTTTTATGGAAAGCCAAGGGAAGACGGATACGGTGGAGTAGGGATGTACATAAGAAGGGGAATCAAATTCAAAATCCTAAAGATTAAAAACGACATGGAATGTATGGGCATTCAGACCCTAAATCTAAAGAGAAATTTGTGCCTTTACGGTATCTATGCGGCCCCCTCATTATCAGTGTCTATCCTGAAAAAGGGGGCAAAAGAAATTTTCGAGTATGCGGCATCATTGAGCATTGCTTCACTAATATGTGGGGATTTTAATGCCAAATCCACAACATGGGGCAGCTCCAGTAGCGACGGCAAAGGACATGGCTTGGAACGGGCGGCAGCTAACTCGGGCTTTGTATGTATGAACGACAGCTCCCCTACGTTTTCTCGTTGCCCAGGTCAAAGCTCGGTGCTGGATCTGACTTTCTGCAATACGAGTAGTATTCAATATAGATGGCAGGCTCAAAGCAGCAAACTAACAAACAGCAACCATTTTCCAGTCTTAATAGACTTGGTCCAATTCTGCGCGAATACAAGTCACAAAAAGGTACTTCATAATAGGATTGCGAGAGTTTTCGCTAATAGTGACTTTTCAAACCTGGATTCACTCAATGGCAATGTTCGCCTTATCACAAAAACCAATACAATTACGGTATCAAGCAAAAACAAATATGTACCCAAGAGATGGTGGAACGAGGAAGTTGACAAGCTGTTTCGCCTTAGAAATGCCTGCAGGAAAAAGTTCTATTTCACCAAAAAGCTGGAAGATGCGGAGCTACTCATGGTAGCAGAAGCAAAGCTGCAAAACCAAATAAAAAACTGTCGCAGAGCTAATTTTAGGCAGTATATTGACGAAATGACGACAGCTCCCACACTGTGGAATGGAACAAGACATTTAAAACTTTATAAAAGAATGAAAAGGACAGCTAACACCTGGTCAAAAGCAGAGGACGAGGAGTTCCTTATGATAGTAAAGAACACGCCAACCACAACATTCAGTTGTCCACGTATGGCGACATCATTGGTCCAGGAAGGGGTCCCCATTTTGTTTAACTTTGAGGATTTTATGTCAGTGTTGAATGCGAGAAATCCAGATTCGGCATGTGGGCTCGATGGCATCTCGTATAGGATGCTGCAGACATTACCGAACCCTAAGAAGAATCAACTTTTTAATATGATAAACGACATTTGGCGGGCTGGAGTCTTCCCAGAATCCTGGAGACAGATCAGGCTGGTGCCGGTACCAAAAAAGGGCTCAAACTCTGACCTCGTTTGTAACCACAGACCAATCTGCCTGCTTAGTGTTCTGTTAAAAACAGTAGAGGGTCTAATCAAAATGAAATTCGACGAACATATTGCCAGTCGCGACCTGCTACCGGAAAGATCATATGCTTTCAGGAAAGGAAGATCGACAGCTCTATGCATAAACGATCTAATTAACAAGATCCAATACCTTAAGACTGAGGGTTTCCAAGTTGTGGCAGCATGTCTAGATCTAAAAAAGGCTTTTGACTGTGTGGATATTGAAACCTTAGACCACCAGCTTCGTGCCGTGGAGTTTGATCCACACCAGGTAAGGTGGATAACTGATTTCCTCCGACGCAGATATCTGGTAAAGGGGTCGAGCAAAGCTGAAATAAATAGAGGAGTTTGCCAAGGTAGCTGCTTAAGTCCCACTCTTTTCAACATTTACACAGCCAAGTTACACACCATAAACAATTCGAACTGTCTGCTTTTTCAATATGCAGATGATTTCTTTCTGATCTGTTTTCACAAGAAGTTTGATTTAGCCGTTTTAACGCTAAGTGAAAGAATAGAAAAATTTGAAAGAGAATGCAGCAGGCTCAACTTATCTTTTAATCCAGCCAAATCCAAAGTCATTCACTTCAGCTCACGCAGAAGACAACTAAATTTGGTAAGCCAAGGTTTCCACATTAAGGAAGTTGCACAAATCAGCTATTTAGGCAGGAACATAACAGCAAATAACTCGGCATGCACCCATATTAGTCAGGCTATCTCAGAGGCCAATAAATCATGTGCGTTCATCAGGCTCTTTAGCGGCTGTCAATACGGTGTCAGTCCTAGGCAAGGAATCTTGTTGCACAAGGCTTTCGTCAGGAGCAGGCTGGAATACGCGTGCTCCTCTTTTAGCAGCCTATCCAAGACAGCCCTAGCTAAGGTCAAAAGCCATACCAATATGCACCTGAGAAAAGCGTTAGGACTAATAAAATGTACCCCCATTCAAATCATCTACCACATGGCAGCAGAGATGCCACCGGATTTCAGGATTTTATTCCTCACAGCCAAAGAATTGGCAAAAGCATTTGCTTTCAATTTACCAGTCTGCGATTTGCTGTCATCCACCAGCACGATAAACACTAGTTATGCGAGGGTTTACAGGAGGTTTGCTAACATACTAGACCACATTGAAGAGATTCCTCTAATACCTCTCAAATGCGCAAAAATGAAAGGAGACACGGATTTTTTGAAGGGCTCAGCAAGAAACAAGCAGTCCATGGATAATTCAACCATGCGCCTGATTTTTAATGAGAAAGCCTCCAGTCTGAGAAGCAGAGGCTTTAAGCTATATTTTACCGACGGATCGGTCACCTCCAGCCACTCAAGCTCTGCTTTTTTGCAGGAAGAATCAGGGTTTGTAGATAGTTTCTATACAAACAAAATCCTCTCGTCTCTCTCCTCAGAGCTTATTGCAATTGAAAAGGCAGTTGATCATGCAATCTGGTTGAGAATTTCCCATGTGGCAATTTTAACGGACAGCCGAGGCAGCGTGCAAACACTAATAAATCATTCGCTTAACAATTCCATAGCAAACAACATTAAAAGAAAAATTAATAACTGTTCCAGTGTTTTAGCTGTAGAGTTACATTTCATACCGGGACATGTGGGTATTCCCCAAAATTCCGCGGTGGACACGGCAGCCAAAAGAGCAACAACAGACGGCACCTTCATGGTGCTAAAATGGAGCTTAAAGGATGCAGTGCGTACCATGTACAGTCTAATCCATGACGAATGGGAACTAGAGTACGCCAGATTCGTGGCAGAGAAAAACAGAGCATACTGCGCACTTTTTCCGACCACGCTTGGAAAACCGTGGTTCCAAAATAAGAGCTGCAATTTTAACGCAAACAATACAAAACTAATTAATAGACTGCTTAGTGGATACACATTCGATAAAGTCACTCTTTCAAAAATGCATGTTATCGACGATAACAAATGTAACAGCTGCGGCGTTCCCGATAGCGCATCACACATCATATTTGAATGTCCAAAACATAATACAAATCGACAACGCGTCCCATCGCTAACCAAATATAACAATCTGCACTCTTTCTTTAAGCATGAGGCGGTTCAAGAATATAACGCAATAGTAAACTTCATAAATGACACAAAAGTCAAACTGTAATTTCAAGCAACATCCTACATTTATCTAGTGTGGCAATTTCCACTTCACCAATAAGTGGGCGGCCAAATAATTCCACAATACCCAAGGGCATCGTGGTAACTTAAACCCAAAAAAAAAAAAAAAAAAAAAAAATATTTTTGATAATCGTACAATCAGATTTACACGGTGGATGCACGAAACCATGGAGACAGTCCACACACATCGTCTCACAGTTCGGCAGGCATGTCAGCCGATGTGAGCAGCTTCCTCAGCACCAACTCCTTGAGCAAGGCTTGCCTGATGGGCCACAGTATGGGCGGTCGGACCATGATGCACTTTGCTCTGACGTATGTAGGTCGATATTATCTATATTCTTACCATATGCTGCATACTCTTATCTACTTTTATAGCCTCAGCTAACCGATCGTCTCATTGTTGTGGACATTTCGCCCATTTCGATACCGCGCAGTTTCTATGAAATGAATCGCATCTTTGATGCAATGCTTAATATTGCAGTGCCATCGAATTTGCCTATGGCCGAGGGTCGCAAATTAGTCAAAGAGCAAATGAAGCAGGCCACAGATTCTATGGAGACGGTCGACTTTATAATGTTGAATCTTCGCAAGAAACCAGATACAGGAGAGTAAGTGTTCTTTTTCATTCTATAGCCGATATGATCTTAAGAATCTTCTTTAATCAGATTTGTATGGGCGTGCAATGTTCAGACTTTGCATGACAGCTTACCGCATTTCGGCAATTACGAATCGGAACTGCAAAACTTGAAGCCCTACAATGGACCCACAACTTTTATTTGTGGCACGCGCTCGCCATTTATGTCACCAGATCATTGGCCACAGGTGCTCAAATACTTCCCCAATGCCGAGATTCATTGGCTCGACGCTGGACATCTCGTACACTTCGAGCAGCCGCAGAAATTTATACAAATTGTTGCGGATTTTCTGAACAAAAAGTGATGCTCTTCTGACTATGTGAATAAGTTCCAAAGAAAGTCGAAATATTAAATTGCAAATTTTAAATATCAATTTCTGGTCGATCATTTGTTTATAAAAGGTGGCAGCATTGAGTTAAACGACCATGGGATGGAATTTAAGGACATCGCAATACGTGGCAGCGCTATTTACCACACCAGCTGATTATTATCGATAGCAAACACAAAAGTGTGCAAAAAAGTGCATCATATTTTTGGGTCATCTCGCCGCCCTCTGTCCTTCTCTCTCTGCCATCCACTTACTTAGTCATTCCCTCTCCCTTTACATGCAATAGAGCGAGACAGTGCGGTTTTTGAATGTACATTTGAAATGTCATTTAATTTCGTGTGATTTTTCATAAAGTACAGATAAAAAATATACACTTACACAAATCCAAAGAAGCTAAAACGTATGCTGCATACAAAACCGCCTTATGTGTGTAGATAAGTCGTATATATGTATGTATATGCTACTGTTTATATATGCCTTGTTGATTTGCTTAGTGTTGTTACTTAAAGGTACGAATAAATAAATACATACATACATAAATAAGGGGAAATCACATTGCATTTTAAAATTATATGAAAAAATAATTAAATTTAAAAAAAATAAACACGTAAAATGAACACAGTTTCGTGGGTGAGTGAGTGTGTGTGTTTGAATGTTTGTAATAATTAATAAATACATTAAACAGGAATGGTGGGTAAAACTTTTGTGCTAAGGCTAAAAAGGTTTTATTACAATTTTTCCTTTGGTTTTCCTTGATGTGTTTGTTGTTCATGCCTGCGTGTGTGTGGTGTGTTTTGGGTGTGAGTTCTTTAGCATGACTCTTTTGTGATACATTAACTTAGCATTTTAGTTAGTTAGGCTTTAGTTATGCTCCTAGGTATTTCTTGTAGTTTCCATTATGCCGCTGCATTTTGAATTGATGCTCTTCTGCTGCTTAGCTTAAACAATTATGCCACCATCGTAGGCGTAGTCAGCTTTATTGTGCATTACGAGTCGATTCTCCACAAAGTAAAAACTGTCCGAGCGCGTCTCAAAGGGGCTCGATATCATTTCAGCAACTGCAACGAGAAACAATTGAGTTAGCATATTATGTTCGCTCTATTTAACCCTCAACCTTGACCCAAAAACCCTTAATGCCGGAAGAGCGGATGTCTATTTTTGGCAACTGTGTGTGTTTTCATCGCGTGTGTGATGCTTAAAGTGCTTGGCATTGCGTAATAAATTATTATAAATATAATCAATTAAATTTTCTGTTTTTCGTTCCATTTTTTAGCTTGAGGACTTCTTTAGTTCTTAGAAGTGTTTTTATGCCTAATAGATTTTCCTATTATTTCTATTGGTCGGCTAGTTACGCCAATTTATTGTATTAATGATAGAGGAAGGCAAGGAACTATTCAAAAGCCAGAATCCGTCATATCAGTCAATTGTTCAACGTACATACATTTTAAATGTATTCCACTGCACTCCGGATGGAAGAAAGAAAGGCGCGTTACTGCCCACTTTTCAAAATTATGTAAACGATACATTGATTGCTAAGTCAACTTTTTATGCCTAAGGCCCGGTGAGGTTTATATATGAGATTTTTTTTAAATCTAATGTTTTCATAAAAATTACTGAATAAAAAATCTAGTTAATATAAATGACTAAACAACCTCTTGAAATGGGACAATTAGTTTTCAGCTGATAAACAATATTGAAGATAAATAGAACTTATTATTATGTATTATTAAATTATTAAATTTGTTCAATAATGAAGATTTCAGGAAGTTATGAAAGATATAAGTAACCCCTCTTTGGTAGCTTTATTGCATATTCTTTGAGATTAATCAGTTTTAAAATGTCTCCAAATTGCGTTTTTCTTCCTACTTCATATATGTATGTGGGCTTAGAGATATAGATTTAAAAATGACAACCAAAAACTGTCAATTTTCTGCCTAGTTTTTAACAATTATTCATTTCTAATTACATTTATTGATTCTAAACAAAGATCTAGCGACAAACGCATTACTCTTTTTGGTGTTTCAAATCGGCTGATTATTTGTTAAGACGAAAAACGGAGCATACTTTGATGGGCACGTTTTCATAAAAACCACGTAAATATGCCAATTAGAGCCCATATGCTTATTAGAAGTAAGCTTAGCGCGCAAATTGGAACTCACCTAGGTCTGGTGGAAGATTAGGAAACTCGTATATGTGCTCGCAAGTGTTCTTTGAGTATGGAATGCAATATCCGAACTCGAAATCGAATGTTTTAAGCAAGCGATCGCGAAAGAAGTGCCGCTCGATCATGCGAAAATTATTAACTGGCTGACTTCCCACCGTGAATTCAACACTGAAAGGGAAGGGAGTGTTTGTAAATTAAATTGGTAATTGTGATTATATAATCGGTTGGCTTACGTGGCTCCCACGGTCTTCAAATTAAGGAATGCCGGTGTGAACTGATAGCGCACATAGCGCCCGGCATTGGGATCGGCAGTGTCTTCGAGTGAGAGTTCCTCGGTGGCGGCCAACATAGTCTCCTCAACGGACAGTCCATCCGGAAATTGCTCACTGGGCGGTTTAGCGATCTCAAAAAGCACAGCCCCACTCTCCAGATCACGGATCTTGAAGCGTGTAAAGTCAATTTCGAACACATTGGCATTTGCCGAGCACAGGTAATCATCCGTAATTTTTGTCAGATGCAACACATCCTCGGGACTAATGCTAGTGCCCTCCGGTCGCTTTGATTCGGCACCTGCATTCTCCCTACCATCACTGTTGCCCGACGACGATGAGGACGATTGTACGGGATTCAATTGCTTGCCAACAACACTCATGATGATTACAATGACCACTCCTTCTACTCCGCTTCCTTTGTTCTGCTATTCTGTTGAAGAGGGTGGGGGTGTGTGTGTGTTGATTGCGTTTCTTGAGCTTAGTCGCAACGTATTTTCCCCAACTCGGCGTTCAAGCTAGAATGGCAAAATGCATATCATAAATAAATAATAATTAATTTGTCAGCTGTTGTGGAGAAAGTAACTGAAATAAAGGAACTTTGGTGTTGGCGACACGCCATGGTTGGTCGCACGAGTAGTTGCTGTTGCTGTTTTTGTTCGCATATCGCTTGTAGGAGTTCTGCCTTAACGCACTTAGCAATTAAGTCATGCATACGAATGGGCACACGCAATTACACACACACACACAAATACACAGCAAAATTCATGTGAAAAAAACTCACCTATACAAGGAAAAGTTGCCATAACAAATGCCAAAAACGCGACCCAATTTCTGGAAAAGCTTCTTTGTTTGTATTTGTTTTTCTACCCGTCTCTGTGTGTGTGTGTGTGTGAGAGTATCTGTTTGTGCCTTTGTTTGTGTTGTCGCTGCCTGTTGTCCTGTGTGTTCGCTAAAGTTGACTTTGTGCCGCGAAATGAACACCGTTTTCATTGACTTTTAACTGTAACACATTCTTGATTTGTTATTGTTTTTCTTTTTTTTTTTAAATTTTTAAACTCTTTTCTGCAGTTCTGCACTGACAAGATTAGTTGTGCTGCATGCTAGTGATGGGCAACCAACGCGCAACAACTCGATAACGGAAAAATCCTACTCGATTGTTGCCTGCTGTCGCTACATTTTCACAGTAGAGTAGAGTATACACACTGGCGCGGCACTTGGGAAGTTGGCGCGAAACATCACCGTTTTCAAATTGCCAACTGTTGCGAATGTGCAATTTTGAAAACTGCATTCATAGTTTTTTAATTAACAAGAAATTATACATTTAATTCCTAAATTAAAGTTCAGTCATTTAGGCAACGTACAACGAGGAAAAGTACTAGCCGACCAAGCAAACAACTTCTGGAAAACATGCATGCATACATGCACAAACAGTATACTATATGTAGTATGTGTATGCCTAATGCGCCTATGTGTCATTTGTATATTGATATATGCATTGTTTTTGGCTTTAAGTGGTATTTTAATATTCGCAGCAGGCCAACAGTGTTAAGTTTCAGACCGCATCCACTTCAACCCAGTCCCAGTCCCTGCCTTAGTCCCAGTCCAGCCACGCTATTCCGCTTTATGTGTCGTCCACTTTAGTCCCTAGACGTCCACGTTTCCTGTATTTTTGTTCTTTCGCCAGCGTGTGCGTGTGTATGCGTGTGTGTGTGTATGTGTGTTTGTATTCAAAAGTGAGAACGTGTTCACTTTTGTATCTTTAGTACAGTCGACTGTGTTGTGGTCTGAGAGCAACCCAGCAATATAATACCGATGCCAATCAATTCTGACACGAAACCATTCATCAGATTCTGGAGTTTGAAAATTCACGCAAAGAAATTGCAGATCGAAGATGTGCAAAATAAATTGGGATTATTGTAATGAATAAAGTTATATTTATTTATCATTTATAAGCAAAAACTAAAGTTAAGAGCTATTGCTGTTAGATTTATCAAAACAAATGCACACATGCTTAAAAAACATATATGTATGTTGAATTAAAAATCTCCGTATCATCTGAGACTTTGTTCTTTTTAAAAACATTCCATTAAGTTCAGATCTATCTATCTAACTTCCTTCCAATATATGCTGTTTGTTTCTTAGGAATGCTCAGCTTTCGAAACTAAACAAACATTTTAAATACATTTACTTGAAATTAACAGAATTCTAAGCATTCCTATCAGCATGCTTAGAAAAAAATATCTCCAAATCAATAGAGTTTGTTCTCTAAACTTCAGAGTTCTTGATGCGATACTCTTAAGAAAGCGCAGTTATTTTAAATTAAGAAAGGTATTTCAAATATAGTTCTGCTAATTCTAGACTTCAATCGCTTTGTTAATTTTGAAAGCTTTCCACACACCTCAAGAGGCAAATGATTGAAGTCGAAATCTTCAAAACTGTTATGATACCTAAAACTTGTTCAAAGATGTCTACATGTCCTCAACAGTTTCTTGCCAGATGAGACTTTCTTCTTTCCCCTTTCCATTCCACTTTCCTGAAATCCACATCACAAATATAACCTTTTAGAGGAAAGGATTTCAATCCGGATCTACAACTGCAGGCGTTCAATTCTAGGTACCACTTTCCTGCTAGATGAGGCTTCCTTTCCTTTCTTTCCTGCTTTCCATTCCACTCACCATAAATCGGTCCCATTTAAAAGTGAACGATTTAAAGTTCCTTTACGTAACAGTTCCAGAAGAGTTTCACAAAACCCTTAATTAAGTCAAGGAAGCTTTGGACTTCAATTCCCATCAGGACCCACAGAAGTCCTCCTCATCCACACCGGAGTCAAATCACCAAAAATCATGCCATGCTCTCTTTGTTTATGAATTATGTATATCAATGCATTTGTAAATATGTGCATAGCAGTTCACTGAGTGTGTTTGTACATAAAGCTCTGTAAGTGTATGTATGTATATACATGTGTGTATGTGTGTGTGTGTGTGTGTGTGTGTGTGTGTGTGTGTGTGTGTGTGTGTGTGCATTGTTAGTTAAAAACAAGAAGAATGTGTATTCTATTTTGTCATGACGGTGTTTTAATGCCCTACAACGATAAGCTATTCACTGTTGGAACGTTGGAAGGAAATTGGAATCACATGCCAGGTTGGTTTATCGCCCATCAGCAGCCAACCCATCCACCTTCTCGAGAAGCCACCTCGACAAAGGCCTTTATGGAATTCAAGTGCCTGTATGCCTGTGTGCATGCAGGGTATTAAAAACAAACAAAAAATCGTGGGCGATAAATTCGTACTCGAGTCGAAGCGTATGCCAACCGCCAAGCCAAGTCAGGCGGCAGTGAGACGAAATGATGCCATGGGTGTTCCATATAATGGGGGGAGGGGGTCGCATACGATAGGAAAATGGAGATATGCTCGTATAGACGTAGCAGTAGTTAGAGAGAGTTTTGAAGTGCTAGCGAGGCAGTTCCATTAAAGAACAATCATTGCTGTGTTAAAAAAAAACTCTGATCCCAACTGACTGATAGAATACTTTAGTCAAAACTTATTTACTTAAGTATTCCAGAAGAGAAAGCGATTTCCGGTACTTCAGATAGGTATGCTCTATAATAGAATATGGATATATTAAAGGATTTGCTTAAGAACTTCAGCGGAAGCTGTCTTTTGGAGAAGAGTGATCTCTTTTCATGCAAATTAGACTCTCCTATATTCTATAGGAAGTGCAATTGCATCTTCATTAGTACTGGGTAAGTCCTTTGGTGAGTGATGGATATATCCGTGATTAGAAAATGATTCTATTATCTTTCTATGTATATTCCTTCCAAAAATGCTGACATTCTTTAGACAGGTATGTTCTCGACTAGAAGAGGTTGTCTGTTAAAAGAGGCTTCTATTATTTATAAAAACTTTTTAATTACTTCTACATATTTGTACTTCTTCTGGAGAAGCATTAAGGGCATGTATCTTCTCTGAGGTATTCCTATTAAAAATTGGAACATATTTGTCCAGGTATGTTCTTGACTAAATTATGAATATTCTAAAGGACTTACTGACGGAGGCTCTTCAGAGGGGGTTGTCTGTTCAAAGACGGTTCTATTGTGTATAAAAAGTTCATACTTCTATATGTTTTTACCCCTTGTGGAGAAGCAGTATTTTATCAGGGATATTCTTAAGGACTTATTAAAGCACTCAAGCCAAAAGACACTAGTTGTTCGTCTGTTAAAAATTGGATGATATACACTCCCTCCCGCATTGGAACATATTTGTCCCCTTCTGGAAATGCAGACATGCTCTTGACTAAATTATGAATATTGTAAAGGACTTACTAACAAAGCCTGTCCAAAAGAGGTTTCGTTATAAGACGGTTCTATTGTTTATAAAAACTTCATATTTCTACCCCTTCTGGAGAAGCAGTATTTTATCAGGGATATTCTTAAGGATCTATTGAAGCACTCGATCCAGAAGACACTAGTTGCCAGTCCGTTAAAAATTTGACCAGATACACTCCCTCCCAAGCTTTTGTACCCCTTCTGGAAATGCAGTTACAGCTTCGGCGGCACTGCCTGATTTTGATTCCGACTGACGATGACGTTACATCGTCGACGGTGCATCGTTGTTCGTAGTCGTGGCGCAGTAAAAAAAAAGCGCGCCGGACGGTCTGGCAATCCACATCGTTCGTCGTGGCGTCGTCGTCGCCTCACACTACTCGCACACACTCAAACATATGCAATCGAGTGTGTGTGCCTGTGTGTGTGTGTGTGTGTGTGTGTGTGTGTGTGTGTGTGTTTGACGTTCATTATGTATTGTAACACCTCCCGAGCCGCACAACACGCCGTTCGTCAAAAGTGCCAACAATAACAACAACAGAAACGAAAGAATATAATCTAAATGGAATTTTGCTTTGCTTTGCGCTTCGCTTTTTGAACGATTTCTCAACCAGATACAGATACCAGCGCACCACCGCACCACCGCCACCGACAACAACAACAACAAGAACTACAACAACACCACCAATAGCAACGACCACAGAGCGGTGTCGCTATCGCTGGCGTTGGCGTCGCACAGTAGAACAAAGCTCATCATATTTTGGGACTTAAAAGATCCAATAAAAAAATCCATGAAGTAGTGTTATTAATTATGGAAATAATGGTAATGGGAATTTCTAAAATGTGTCTGATTTTCCTACGATTTTCGTAGGACGATTTACTTGTAACATATAGATTTAAATATATCCCTTAAAACCAATTAAAGTCAGCAAGAAGAAGAGTAGAGTTTATTTAAATTATGCCAAAATATATACAGGTAGGTATAACATTCCTGGTATTATAATAGATTCTTCATACAAATTGTAATAGAAATCTTCCAAACTATTCAATAAACAAAATACAAGAAGTAGTGTTATTAATTATGGAAATAATGGTAATAGAAATTTCTAAACTGTGTCTGATTTTCAGCATTTCGTGAGATAATTTATTTATAAACATGCAGCTTTAAATATAACTCTTAAAACAAATTAAAGTCAGCAAGAAGAAGAGTAAAGAGCTTATTTAAATTATGCCAAAATATATATGTATAACATTCCTGGTATTATAACATCTTCGAAACTAGTATATTAAAATGTTGCTGTTTTTTGTGGCAAGACAAAGGAACGTGTTATAAGTTATACCGATTTAATATACTACAAGTATAGTAAGTCTCCACTGACAGGCTTTAGTTCTTGTACGGTTTTTTAATACTCTCTGTGAATAAATATTTTCTACACTGAAAGCCTATAAATGGACATTAAAAACTCTAGTCGGAAGACTCACTCTATCGATAGATATAATCTTTCGTTTCATTACCGAGCTTGTCTAAAAAGCATAAAGATATTTAGATATAGATTACGTAAGTATTTTGATTGATATACTCTTTTATAATAGTTTCGGGAGATAAATATGCTCTCTGATAATAGTTAAACGTGCTCTCTAATGCTAAGATCCATTTATACGATACATTTTATATTTTATTGTAATACTTTTAACAAAATTCGTATAGTTTGTTTCATAATACTATACTAGTACGGGGCTCAGC